ACTGAAATCTCGTCCGAATACCCCTTCCATGTTATTGCCGTCATAACAATCTCGTCCAACCTCTACTTTCTCTGTTTTTGAGGAACCATATTTTTCTCAAAATCGGCGAATTCTCTCGCTTTCTTCACTACCGATGAACTATTCCCAATTTATACTTCCGCTTTTCGAACAAAAACGGGTACTTCAAAATTATCGTGAACTGTGCCTTTGAGCAGAACGTTGAAATGTCTTCAAATATTCTGATCCGGCTACATTAAGGGTCTTGAGGACCTTGAAAAAACCTTAATTAATATGGGTGCCCAAAACAGTGGATTCAAGTTCGTGACCTGACCTTCATCGGTGGGACTGGTCACGAACGCTTGCCACACTAGCTGTGGAACGTAAAGAATGAGGTGAGATCTGATTTACATCACTTACATTTTCTAAATTGTATGATTACGGTAATCGCCGCGGAATTACCGCCTCGTGGGTGTCCAAGACGGTGGGAATCCGTCTTGGACACCCACGAGGCGGTGATTCCGCGGCGATTACTGTAATCCTCCAGATACAAAGTCCGCCACCCTGTCATTGGTGGGCCAGTGGCGAGTTTCGAACGTATGTCCCCATCTTGGACGTTGGAATTTTCTTATGCTTGTCTGTGCCTTTTCAGTCAGTGGCTTAAGGTGTCCAATTAAGTGTCGAGAGGCTTTTTTGGGTAAGTGTCGGGTCCAAATGGGGTACTTGTTTTCCTTTGCCTTCATCCCCTCCTTTGTAACTATCATTTATCCTTTCGACAGGCCAAAGCCACTGGGGAAGAATACGTCATGGACTCAGGTTCTCTTCTGTATATAGGGTGTTCTTTAGGAAGATTAGACTTGCCTTCGAATTCTCTTTGGACCATGTTTTCATTCTGGTGATTAACTCAACAAGATTAGCTGAAATGGAGATCAGCGTCTTCAGACGATACATCGCAGCCATTTCTGCTAAGGTCACCTGAAGTTTCACGAGTTAATCCATTCGAGTTGATACATAAGAGTTTGGTCCGTCTATGAACGGTTGGGCATAGCTGACCTCCTTGTTTTTGACGTTTATGACTTGTTCCCCCTGACTGCCCCATTGCGTTACTCGGGAAGCTGCTTCCCTGAGTCGTGCTACCAACTGATCATGATCGTCCTTTGCTGTCATACTCGTGCCATCGGCTAGTTTTTCCATTTCGGCCGATTTCGAGGCTTTACCACCTTAATCTTTTAGTCAACTTGCGAGCTTCAGACAAATTTCAGTTCTGTATCCGCTACACTGTGTAATTCGACCCTCCTAGAAGATTTAGATTTTAAGGCAAATGTCTCAACTCACTTGAATGTTCGTCTGCAACTTTGGTCTTCGTGCAATGCTCTATCAAGGGCTTCGAGTAGAGCGCGTTAAGAGTGCCAGTGTAGTGAGCAAGGGCTGTACTCTGAAACGACATGAGCTCACCTTTTCGTGGATGAAAATGGTGGGTGTTTTGTATTGGCTCTACCAAGTCGGGCAGGAAAAGGATCATTGAGAGACCTCCCATTGAAGACTTGGTTACCGACAGGATCCGGATGCTGGTTAGGAATAACCGAAGAAGACCCTAGATCCCACCTAAATCCCCAGCGTAATCTCGAAGTCCTCGTATGCGTGAGCATGTGGATCTGTTCCCCATAGACGCGGAAATTTTACTGTACTTTGTAAAGGTTACTGTAATTTTTGGAGCCTGACTGCAACTATTATTCACGCTCTGTATGTCTCCACTCTCCAACCCTGCCTTCTAATATATCCCGGTGGTCGATAAATTTCTACTAGACTCATAGGAGGGGACACAGCAGTAGCTTGTGCCACTTTAATGAATTTAGCTATCTTACCGTCCATTCCATGAAATATATCGAAGCCGATCTGACTAGTTTTTGTTTGCTTTTAGTGGAGGATGCAGCCTTATCATCCTGCAAAATCAATGACTGCACTGTTACTCTAGTGACTCCCGATTCCAATTGGGTAAGTTCCCAGACTGGATTGAAGTAAAAAAACCTATGATTAGGAACTCTCCCGCTATTTATGGTGACTTCCCAATCGTCTGAGCTTTACTCACACGATCTCCGATTTACTACATACGGGAAGAAAAAAGAGAGAATATCGAACTCACCCGACCCATCCTTTTACTGCAATCAAATAAACCATCCTATCATTTGCCTCTGTTTGCCGATAAGTATTCACTTGTTGGAAAAGGAATATTAGAATTACAAACTCTTACCGTATCTCTGGAGAACGGTGATAATTTGTGGTAAGACTGAGTGGCCGCGGTAAGTAATCATCAAGTATACCTATCATACCATATCTGAGTACTTGCTTGTACTATTTGTTCCAAAGTTAAAAACACGTGCCGTAACAGCAGTGAAGCGCTATACTTGCTCGTACAAGCGCATGAGCATAACAAGAGAACGGTAAAGGGCATGTGTAGTTGTCGATCGGGGGGATAATAAGTGATAGAAAAGATAATCACCTGTATCAACTGTCGTCCCGTTGATCATCGATTTCCTCGACCGGGCGCCGTAACGTCTCTTTTCGTCCCTGCCACGAGCCAGAACGGTCCAGTGAATCGTCCTCGCTTCAGAGACACGAGGTCCAGCATTTCTTTCGTTCAGAGCTTTCGTGAAGAAGTCTGACGATCTCGTTGGCGGTCGTCCTGGAGTTCTTTTGATGTCTCGAGGGATCCAGTCAGTAACCGTCCTGGTCTAACGGTCATCACGATATCACGTGAAGTGTCCGACCCACCTGATCTTCGGCCGTTGACGGTACTCGGAACTTTGGGGTTCCTTCTGCCCTTGCGGGTGTATGTGAGAAAATTCCGAGAATCGTTCTTCCCACAGCGGGTTGAATGACGCTGACCGTATGATCCTCGTGTTTTCGGTGCGAATAGTGATAATAATAACATTCGTTCGTAGATCTTGGGTAATAAGGACTCTAAAGGGGTATCGGAGAAGTAGCTGTCATGGATGGGTTCCAACGATCGTTACAATATTATGATTGTTTCACTGGATCAACTTACTGGTGTCAGTTATATTCAACAAAATGGAGTAATACTTGAGACAAGAAGTCAAGAGAACTAACAATAAGTGCTCTATCAAAACCCTGATCTCCCTTTGCTTCCTGCTTCTATTTTCTGGCCCTCTAGATACTTCCGCTGATCTTATTTTCAGTACTTGCCTCAACATTTCTGTATACATACTTTCACCCTTGATTTTTCATTTTACTGAGAATTTTATCTTGGGACCCTAACGAATGTAGAGAGAAGAGAAGGAAAGTGAAAATTTGAGATTCTACTGGGATTTAGAGAGTATGCAGTGGCACCTTTAGGTAGATGTGAACTGTAAGTGACACACAGCAAGGAACCGTTTATTAGGGGAATCGATTTCATTTTCATGGAACAATATGAGGCAAGCACTTAATTAAATTCGATTAAGAGCGAGAACTAAATATGAATTCGATTACGTTGATCACAGCTTTTGCTAGAAATAGGAGAGAGAACTGTCATCTTCATCAATGGTTTTTGCGACCTTTTTGAAGAGCTGCGAGATTGAAATACGGGGGAGTTTTCACTCTTCTTTCCTTGCTACCCTGACGTTTTGAGCTTTTCATAGGTTTTCCCTGAAAAGCAGATTTATAATAACTAACGAAAAACACTTACTCTAACAATTAGCACACGTTCACTTCCATTTATGAGCCCCTAAGGTTATGCAAATGGGAGTAACCCAACGTGCCTCAGCACAGAGCCTTCAAAATCCCAGATAAGGACCACCCATCAATAACCGCTCATGAGTTTCTTGTCATCATTCAGTATAATCTTCCAACATCGTATGTTCGATCATTGCAAGATATCCTCTCTATCCAGGACATTGAGGGGAAGGAAGTTGCTGCCCTAGGAACTAAAAGTATTCAGGCTAAACTATGGAAATGAGTGCTTTGCGGACATGAGCCAAATTGCACTACCACGCTCGCTTCTAGGGAATGGGTCGCAGTTGGTGACCCTGTAGCACCTCTTGACCCGGATACATTTTCTGCACAAATGTTTAGTATGAGCATCATGGGTTTGAAATACATGGTTTATTAATAACTTTTTTATGGTGCAGCCAGGGAAGATGCTCAAAGATACCCTTCCATGGTGTACTTTATCCGACGTCCTAATGAAACAGTGACACTACATTCTCTTTCAACCTTATTTCTAACCAGATAATTGATAACTAATAAATACTTTTTTGATTAGTCAAGTAGGAACCTTTTAAGATATCCGTGACGATTAATGAAAACCATAATTGTAACCCTATAGTTACGAGCACAAGAACATACCGGCGTGACAGATCTGCTGGGACGAGATGCGGTCACGGATGACGAAAACCGACCTCGGCCCTTAAATTGCTAAGCATGATATGACCACCTTGAAATTGATGAATTCAAATTCCATGTTTACTCTTTTTTTTTTGAAACCTGGGCATTTTTTGCCTTATCAGTATTCAGTGCCTCTGTACCGGTGGCGATTGGCCGGATTGAGCAAGGCTCGATTCTCAGGCCTGAACTTCCGCATGTTTAGTGGTCTGGACATTCTCACAGAAAAAAGGACACTGGCTGGCCCCAGTTCTTTCTATTTGCTTGATTAGTTGAATCGAACGCCCTGTGATGCAGTTGTTGGCTATTTTTGACGACTGCTCCGTTATAGCTTCACTCAGTCCGAAGCGAATGAGCTAACGTTTGGCGATCAGTCGTAGCAGATCAACTATGGAAGCCGTGCGCGAATGTTGCTTGCCCCCGAACACTCAGATAAGGGTAATGAGTGGAACGTACAGTGGGAAGTGGTATAGAAAAAGGAGCTTCAAGGATATCGTGTATAAAAAAGGAAGTTTTCAGGAATTATCCACTTGACGACCTAGTATAGAATTATATTAGAACTGCTATATGTACAAGTGAAGCGGAGCGAGTAGGGTTGGGAGAATCAGCGCGTCATGTAGCTGGTCCAAGGAATGGAAGTGGTGTAGTGGCAATCGTCCGCAGGTGGGGATCACTGCACCACACCATCACCGGACTTTAACACCCATCTTGTGAGTGCGACCGGGCAGCCTTCCTTGCTCCTTTGTTACCGGACTTGGGCGAGCTTTCGTGTTGTTGTAAGTGACGTGAGCAACCAGTTGTTAGGATACCAATTCTGTCCGGAGATTGGTGGTCTGAGTTGCAACTAGATAAGAGTTGCTTCTTGGTCGAGCAGGATGGGTGAAACTCCGGAGATCCACGAAATTCCAAAACCTTCTCTGGCACAGAGGAGCGACAAGCTCCCCCGAATTCAATCGAGATAATGTTCTGTCGTTGTAAATCTGTTCGGTACCGAAGCACTGAAAGCCATCATGAGCAAAAAACGGTGTTCCTTTCTAAGGGGGTGTACGATGCTATTTGTTTTACCATCTCTGGGTAATCGTTCGGTTATAGGGAAAACGATATTCAAATTATGTTTCTGGTTGGACAACTCGCACTTACGGTGGTGGTAGAAGATGACGTCCTGCTCAAAGCGGATCTCGATCGCATTCTCTGTGCAGCACCTAGATATGGTCTATTTCGAGTCCTTTCCTCAAATGTCAACCGCTCAAACGGACCTTTCATATGTTTCCTGGGAGCTGAGTGTAAAAACACCGCAATCAGGACGAAAATTACAATGATCAGCAAAGCCACGCCCATCAACACCATGTCGCTAAATCCGTTCGTAGTAATGAAATGATGAACAGAAGCCTAATATGTACTCTTCATTACAGTGATTATTCCAACACTTACCTTGACTCCATACCACCTGCTTCCACGACTGCTGGCCTAAACTGACATAACTTCTACGATTACAGCTTTCAACAAAGTAACAAAAAGAAAATTGTAATCTTTCCCTATAGAAGTGGCGTACTATCACACACAAGTTATCACCGACGCCAATCAACCGAAAACGCCGGCAGGATGGAAGGCTTTGTTGGACTAGGCGGAAGGCGATTGGGTCGGTTCAGTGGTACCATACTCGTCCGAGAAGTTAAAAGCACTGACTTGTTCATCGGCTGGCCATGTAAACCATTGGATGAGGAACCTACGCATTCAGTACGTTTCTACAATTCCAAATTGGAGCCGAACTCAAGAAAGTTCTTTAACGAATCTATCTTGGAGTTTTCCCTGACAGCGGGTGTTTCGAATGATCATGAGTCTGTGCTTCGCCCGATGGAGGCAACTCCTCTACGCAGAAAAGTCGAATGTTGCCTCCGTAGAGGCTGGAGATTTCCCAGCCACCGAATCACCGAGCATACCCCAACCCAAACTGTCTTTCGATCCAATCGTTCTGAAATCGAAAGCTTTCAGAGGGAACAGTTTGAAGAAAGGGATTGTCAGAAGGTCGTGGACCGCCGGACTACTGCCTTCTCCATAACTAGGGTTTGCAGGATAAGCAGTGACAAAGAGGGGAACGAGCTCCTTCTTCTTCATGCTAAGACACCTCTGAACAATTTGTGCGGTGTAGCTGTTTGAACTGGCAGCTCTCCACCCTTTCTTTCACTTGAATGGCTTGCAAATCTATGACACTAGCGAGAAAAAACTCCGTCCGGCAGCGACCTGTCCCTTTCAGCACTTAGAGCTCGAACTTCAAAAAGTTCTTGGGAAATACAACTTACCTTGCAGTCATTTTCGTCGTTTTTGTCGTCGGTTCTTTCTCTGTTTCTTCTTCCGTAGCAGGTTCCGTCTCTCGATCTGCTTCTGCGGTAGTTGTTGCTTTTTCAGGCAAAGGAACTCCCACTTCTGCGGTGGTAGTGGTGCCTAAAGGTGGTGATTTCGCAATAGTTGCCAATGTGACGGTGATGATTATACTCGAGTACTTGTAGTTTCTGTACTTGTTGATTCCGTTGTAGTTGTGGGAACTTCTTCACTTGTTGTAGAAGTTGTATCCGTTCCAGTTATAGAGTATGTGGTATCGGTTGATGTCATTGTGAGGGGCATGGTTGTGTTGGGTGTAGTTGTAGTGTCTGTCGTCGTGGATGTGGTTGTTGTAGCTGTTGTTGTTGTTGTTTCTGTTGTTGTTGTTGTGGGTATGATGGATGTTGTGGTTGTTTCTGTTGTGGTAGTTGTTGTTGTGGGTATGGTTGATGTAGTGGTTGTTTCTGTTGTGGTAGTTGTTGGTGTGGTTGTTGTGCTGGGTGTAGTTGTAGTGGCTGTCGTTGTAGATGTGGTTGTGGTAGCTGTTGTTGTTGTTGTTGGTGTTGTAGTTGTTGTTTCTAATGTGGTAGTAGTTGTTGATGTGGTCGATGTCGAAGTTGTTGTTGTGGGTACTGTTGTCGTTGTAGTAGTAGTTGCTATTGTTGTTGTAGTAGGGGATGTCGTTGTGGTTTCAGTAGTAGACGTGGTTGTCGTGGTTGATGTGGTTGTTGTATCGGGTATAGTCGTAGTAGAAGGCGTTGTAGCGAGTGTTGTAGTTTGAGCTTCAGTGGACGTCGTCGTTGTGAACGCCTCCTTCGCTTCTTCCGTAGTTGTTCCTCCATTGTCTTCACCTACACTCGTCGTAGACGTGTCCGGTATCGGCGTAGCTGCAAGCAAAAGCTAAAGTAAATCCGATTAATGGCAATCGTTGTACTATTTGCCTGCTTGGCTGACTCCCACCGAGGAATTATGAACATTAGACCACTAAAAA